ATGAATTAGTAGTTCTTTATAACTCATTTTTGTTTGTTTGATTTTTATCTTTCCTCCTCTTTGGGAGGTTGTATCTTTGAACTTTTATTTCTTTTCACAAAATCAATGAGAATTATCGTTTCTTGTTAAAAAAATCCAAAAAAGAAAGACTAATGGAATAATTACACAAGTCCTCAAAAACATAACACCCAACACCCAGGAAGAGGCCTTAAACTTGGCAAGAGGCCTCAACCCTCTAAACCTTCTTTTATCCCTCTCAAGCAAAAATACTCCATAAAACAACAGAAGAACTCACATACATCAGAATGCAACACTTATAATGAAAGCGAATGAGAAACTTCTTCTATCATAAGATAACAGTTGTTGTAACGAGCCAAACATACATCAAATGTCTATAAGGAAGAGCTCTGAATGAGAGAGCAAATTTGCATCTCCAAAGGATGACTCAAATCCTCGAATGCTCCATACAAAGAATGTACCACTGCAACCCATCAAAGGAAAAAAGCTTCTAAACACGGTCCATAATGTTGACTCCTCCATACAAGACTTGCTTGAAAAAAAAAAAATCTTAACTTTCTTGGGCATTTGAACCTTCCTTGACGAGGAGAATAAAAGGTTTTTGGCAGCAATGATGGTTACCCAAAAGGAGAAGTAAAGAGTGGCAAGAGAACCTTTCAAGTGAATTGGGGGACCAAAAAACAAATATCTCTACAACCCGACTAAATATGGAAGTCTTCAAAAAGAGAAAGAGTAGTTATGTTCAATGACTCCCTATTTGAAAGAGAACGACAAAAATCAAAATTAAGCGAATAAGAATTACCAGTATACAAGATGATAGATGTTATAAGTCACAACCTCAAAGAAGATAAGGTAGTATAGACAAGGATCCACTCGAATCAGAAGAGGAAAAAAGGGGGGGTAGGGTCCCATTTAGATCTTACTAATTAGAATAATTTATTGAAATCTCTTTTCATATTCAAAATCGTGGTGTAACATGTATCCCCTCTTGTTTCGATCAAGGAATAGATGAAATAAATATAAAAATGAATTTTTGTAGATACCAAGAGGGCCATCCACCACCCACCAATCCTCCCAAAAACATGTGTTTGAGTCATCCCCAACAAAAAGCATGCACAAATTTAAAGAATGGAGCACGGAAAGTGATACCAAAAATTCCTAGATATGCCTTTAGATATCCAAATCAAATAGTGAGATCCGTACTTACTAACAATGAACTTAAGCCATAGAGCATTCGACTTTGATGGGAAACACTACAACCATTTAGGTAATAAAGTCTCATTGTGAAATTTTAGATTGCCTTTACGTAGTCCACCAAGGTGGATTAGTCTCAACACCACCTCCCAATTAACCAATGTGGACCTCCCCAAAACTCTTATAGACAGGAATCCTAAACCAAGAAAGTAAGTCGAGGTTCCACTAAAAACAGATTGAATAGGAGTGTTACGATCCTCTCAAAGAAGAATGCCCCTTTCCCAGGATGAGATTCTTTTAGACCTTATCCAAAGACGATTCCCCAGAACAAAGCCCACTTGCAGTTATGACCAAGGTATGAGGTTGGGAAAGTACCCATATCTCAGCCCCCTAAGGATGCCTAGCTACTAACCTTACAAGACTGACAATTGATGACAATGACCAAACTCTTACCTCTATTAATCTTTAAGACGTGAAATGATCCTGGAGAACCACAATATGGTTAAGGTCAACCAAGGTGTCCTCTCTGCCCAAGTAGAAAAAATTGTATCATCTACAAGCTGGAGATGCAAGAGATGAATCTATCCTTCCCCACCCAAAATCCTTCCACCAGGGTGAAAACTAACCTGCTAAGAATATGAGCGATCTCTTGCTCTTTATTCTTAATAAACTAATTTTGCAGTATTTGAGTGAGAATCATTTAAACAAGTATTTGGCATTTTAGGAAATAGAATGAGTAAATAATGCAGGGGTAAACCAACAAAACTTAATGAAGTAGCACTAAATTCAACTAGTACATAAGGAAATAGAAAAAGGAACGAACAGAAACAGAACATACCACGAATAATTGCTTGGTTAGGAAGTTGACCATACATGATAGACAAATTCAGGTCATTAAAAACTTCAAGAGGGAGCATCCTGATAACAAGTAATGGACAAAGACGCTGAAACAGAGATTGGTGCACATTCAGAGAGATATCTTCGTAGTTTTCGCTCTTCCGTCTAATGTAGAAGCCTTCATTAACCCTGACTCCGGGAAGATATAGTAAATTTACTCAATACTTCATAACTACACTCCAATATTTTAGGATATTATTAACAAAATAAGGGATTTTTCATTGATAAAATGAAAAGAAACAAGAGTTCAAGGATACAATCCCCAACGTTTCAGAGTTGAAAATAGAAATCCACTCAAAATGGAATCTAAAATAAGCTATGTTGCATACCATTCTAAATTTAAAAATATTGAGATATTTATCTCTCATCTTCTTTAATAAGAATAAGAGAATGTGTCTGGTAGTGTGTGTATGAGATTGTATAAAAAGAAATGGACAAGAAGTCCTACTTAGAAAATAAATACAAAATGAAAAAGCAAATTGGACTAAAAACATTGTTAGATATCTAATAAATGATTAAATTTACCATATCCCATCAACTTAAATTTTTGGGTTCATTGGTGATTTAATTATGTCTAAATTGGTATCAGGGTGCAAAAACTCAAACGAGTATCCGGTCTAAGATTGGTGAGCCTAAAAGAACTATCATCTTGAGGAGACATGTTAAAGATCCCGCATTGGATAGATGACGGACCTAACAAAGATTTATAAGATATATAGGCTACTCCTCTTGTTGCCAATTGGTTTTGAGATGAAACTCCCCCCATTCTCACCCCCACCACACCCCACTACCCAAAGATTTTTTGTCCATGATGTTGGGGTGAGTAGACCTTCAGAATAAATCTGTCACTTAATACCCTCAAACAATCCAGAAGGTGAAAAAGACTAGAAAATTAAAATTATATTTGGAAGAGTTTATAAAAAAATAATAATAATAAAATAGAAAAAAAAGTAATTCATTTTAACTAAAGACTGCCACTGGAACAAGCATCAGCTGTGGAAGAAGTTTGAAGATTCGGCATACTACACTACTGGAAAAACAAATAATATTTTTAAAATGTTTCTCTATCTTATCCGCACACCAAGGTGGGGAAAACGTAAAGATAAAAAGCAGAATATAACGAAAAATGAAAACCTCAAGACTTGAGCAGATTGGAATTTCTCAAAGGGTCTTGAAAATAAAGGATTTCAATCAGACATAAATTAGTTGGATTTTTAATCGTATCATTGATACCAGATTTTATATTTTCATAAATGGAAGACAAAGGGGGTGTGAATTAAGGCTTTTAGGGGTTTACATACTCTTTCTGTCCTTTCACATATGACAGAATGCGCTTTAGGACTACATCAGTAGCTTTCACCAAGTGCTCGTTTATAATACTCAGGAATCTAACAATAATTGCATTAGATGGTTCTGCAAACATCTTATCAATCAGCGGTCCTATCAAGAACTCCCAATCTTGAACCTGAAATATTACAAAACAATCAACCAGCCCATTATTTCTTCTCTGCCAGTTGATGCAGACTTATCAACAATAAATAAGAAAGCAAGACTTGAACATATTGCATATACAAACAAGGAAAAAATAATTGCAAAAAGAAAATGAAAAAAGAGTCATGAAGAGTAAAACTTTGTGCATTTTGGGAAATGAAAATAAAACATTTATTCAGGAGAAATAAAATCAGAGATCCCAACGACATCCAGAAGAAATGATGCAACCTAGCATCTTTCTTTTTTCGGGGAAACAACTTTTTTACAACATCAGTGCACAACTTTCCTGACATAAAGGCAATCAAACAACCTAGTGCTCCTAATAACCTAACAAACTCAATCCTGATTACACAACTTTCTTGAAGATGTTTGGGCCTCCTCTCGTCCTCTAAGCATCTCTTTTCCTTCCAAATACTCCATAGCAAACTCCAAATCTCCATGTTACAATTGCTGGTCTGAATCTAACAAAGCATGGGATCTTCAGCTCAGAAGAGATCTAATGGACAGAGAGTTGGAGGAATAGGCAAACCTAACTGTTTTAGTCCAAGATATTTACCGTACTCATCTCACTTATTCTGTTTTTGGGCTCCAGATTAGTCTGGGATGTTTTTGGTGAAGTCAGCCACCAAAGTCCTTTTTGGAGATGTGATCAGTTGGCCTTCAGAAAGAGGACCAGTTCCAGTAGTTATAATTTGGATAAAAAAAACTAACCAAACTGACCTGGGAAGACAATAGTCCCAAGAGAACAATTTTATTTTGTCCGGTCTCTGGCCTACAAAAGCTTAAATACTATGTATAGGGCCAAAAGAGGAATCCAAATCTAAATTCATCTCCGTATATGTTTCTAATAAACATATGCAAAAACAGTGCTAGATCTATCAATGACGTTTTTCTCCATTACCTCTAAACTTGCAAAGGTTGGACTAACATCTTCGGGAGTTTCAATTTTGTTTGGCATCCTCCAAAGAAGGTAGAAGATGCTCTGATACAGGGGTTCAGCCAGATTGCCTCTACTCAAACTAAAATTGCATGATCATCCCTAATCACACTGCATTAATTTCATCCCTCTTGAAAAATGATTCATCATTGAGCTTACAAGGCAACAAAGACGACAAATTGTTTCAAAGTCACTTCTTCAAATGATTAAAAAACACTCCAATTGAAAACGTTGTCTTCGGCTCATCAAATCACCACCACAATGTTTTAGATAATTTTGATCTATTATGGATAGTTCCGAAGATTGTTGAGGAGGCTCTTCATTATCCTCCGTTCAGGGATGAGGGTCGCTTTTTGTGGCAACCAGGTGTCTTTCGTGTTCTTTGGGGTTTCTTTGAACAAAATTGTGAGAGTACTCCTAGGGATAGTTTGGGAATAGTATTAATATATTAGTTAAGGGGGGAGTTGGTTATAAATAGAGGAATTAGGGAGAGGAAGGGGTATCTTTTGGAATAGTTTAAGGTAAGGGAGCTTGGCATAGTTCTTGAGAGAGAGATAACCCTCTAAGATATTGTAACGCCTCTTTAATAGTAGCCCTCTCGAAAAATCTTCCTCCTCACTGAGGGAAATCGGATGTAAGCATGACAAGAGGGTTAAATAATCCTCCAATTCCTCATCTTTCAACATTCTCCTTACATCGATTCTCCACGAGTACGAGGCTAGATCCCAAGCATCATGGACCGATAAAAAGGGGATGAGGTGACCCGAAATAGAGAGGGAAATCTAACCTACCCAACCATGCGTGATGCCAAAAGAGGATACGTTAGCCATTTCTTTCTCTAGGGAAGGAATAATTCTTCACCAAAATACTAAACCAAGGACTACGACAGCTTCCCAATTTTTTCCCTAAAACCTTCCAACCAAAACGGTTAGTGCCATAAATACTTGCCACAACTTGACCCCGAAGAGCTGTTTTCTCAACACTAAATCACTAACCCCATTTAGCAATGCGTGAAGAATTTCCTAATTGCAACACTCCATTATTATTAGTATCTTAGGAATCCCATATGGTCGTCTTCCAAACATTCCTAACCGATCCTTGAACTTGAAACAACTCAGATTCTGGTGAATTCTCTTCAGACGAATGGGTTGACATTATTCTAAATCATCTATGATCAATTTGCGTTACTTGTTTCTTAGACCAACTAAACAATGTCTTGAAATGTCAAGAAAAATTGCAAGAATCAGCATCTTTAACCATTTGAGTATGATGTTTCGATTTTTCCAAGTTTCTTATTTAATGTCTGACACCCACAAAAGTTGTGAAATTTTGGAAACACTTCAAACATCAAACTGAAAGAAAAAAATACAAGATAATATTCCAAAGTCAATGGAACAATAGACCAAGACCACAAACATCGAACTGCAAAAGACAACGCCAAAGAATCTAAAGCCATAGCAAAAATCAGAAAGAGCGGAAACTTCCAAAACTTTCAGAACTTTCTTCAACAAAGCTTCCACTTCATTAGAAAATTTCGAGAAAAACTTCCTTCTTGAATAAGAAAAGGGTAGCGTAGGAATACAATTCCTCGGTTCTCCTGGGCAATTTATCTAGATCAAATCTAGGGCTGCTGTCACGCATCGCAATAAAATTCAAGACTGTCGTTTCCTCTTCAAAAATCTTATGCAAAATATCTGGAATAAAAATTAGGTTTAGTCTCACCTGCCACAACAAATATCGAGGATGTCAATTCCTTTTTTGAAAACTTCTCCAATGAATGGTAAGTCTTTTATGAATTAGTGACTCCTTTTTCCCTACCCACTTTCGTCTTAAAAGCCACCTCACCTTCAACCTACGATTCTTCATCTGTCAAAACCTCGTGAAACCTTTGCACATCCATCATGTTTGAAGACTCTTCAATTGAAAGCTTCATGGAATTCCAATTTTGTTGATTGATGATTATAAACAAGGCTTCGACACAAACAACAAAACCTCCAACTTCCGTATGTACATCTATTGAGGCTGGAAAAAAACCACAGGTGTTCAACTCCACTTTAATCTGAGCCTCTGAGCAATCCAGCATATTTATAGTTTTTTATGAGATGTTCTTTAATCTACCAAGCTGGACACCAATGGCTTGATAACAATGCTTGTTCCAAAATTCTAGAGGTAAATCACATCTTTTAACCCAACCTCCATAACAAACCATGACTTCATTTCTACCATGATCTTCAAAAACTACATTTTTCTAGCTTCACGTGAAGGTCACCTAATTTTCTCCATTTGCTATTGAGACAATCAGAATTTAGCATTTTACCATCTTCAAATCTTATCAAAGCCTTGTCAGCAAAAAAGAGATTAACTTGAAAATCTTGAGAAAATTTTCCTTTTAAAGCATTTGCTATCTTCATCCAATTATCATGTGCACAAAGTCTCGTGACTACCATGACATTTTCCCAATCCATCTCTAGCACTTCAGTCTCCTTTCAGTGCTTCAAATCCTTTAAATGCTTCAAGTCCCCTCTGTAGCAAATATTTTCACACCTTTCCCACTGAACATAGCCTCCTTTTCGTCTCTAATATTCCTTCTATTTTTCCCTTCAAGAATCTCAGCAAAAGATAGCCCTATCTTCCCAAATTATTTTACTCTCAAAGCTTCCAATGACCTTGAAGTCTCCTTTCCCCTAGCAACTTCTTTTGCTCACTCGAATCCATCATTTACCACATCCTACAACGTTAACCATCCTCTTTTTCCAAATCCAACAGCAACAACAATCCTTTTCCTTCCTCCAGTTGGCGGCCAAACGACGAGTTCAACGTGCCCTCTTGCAACATACTTTATTTTTTAATCTTACACCTACCAAATGGCAAATTCATCACTTTTCTAGTTAGAAAAGAAATATTGCAACAACAACTGCATAAATCAACTGAACCATCTCATCCCCAAACCAAGCTAACTACAAAAATTCCAATTGCAAAACCTCTGTGTAACTAATATCTTCCACATAAAGCCAGTCTTCTTCAAACCTTAAGCAAAAATATATTTCATGATGCCAAACCACACAGGGAACTTTAAATTGAACTGATGCTAAAACTGAACTCACGACTAAGAAAACTGCTAGAAAGACGACTCGTATGAAACCGTAAAGGAGAGAAGAGGGAGGAGGGAGGAGACAGCATCTATTAGCTCTCTTGACAGGCCATTTTCATTCGATGTTTATTTGTGTTCTTTGTGCTAATTATTGTGATATTCATATGCATATTTTCTTCCATCCCCCATATGCAATGGCCTGTTGGGGGCTTTTACTCAAAATGTTCGACTTTTCTTGGGTATTTGCCTTAGACGTTCAGATGAACATTAACCTATTGCCGTTTGGTCCGAGTTTGGCTCCCAAAGCAAGTCTTCTTTGGAATAACAGCATTAAAGTCATCTTATCTTAGTTATGGTTTGATAGAAAATTAAAGGGTCTTTGAAGAGATGCAAATCTTCGATTGAATGATTCAGCCCCGAAAAATTCAAAACCTCTCAATGATGTGCTCTCTCCCATCTATTTGCAAATTACTCTTGCTGGTATGATTTGTTCCACTTGGAGGCATTTATATCTCGCGTCTATAACTATTTCCAACTTGTAATTACTTTTGTTTTGGCTGTTTTTTTTGTCCTCTTTCACTCTCTCAAGAGTTTGTATCATTGAACAATAATAATGAAAAGTCTGTTTATTGTTAAAAAAAAAAAACATGAGAAATCATGTTTATAAAAAATAGTTATCCACACACATTTTACTAAAATTCATTTTAAAAAAACAAAAAATTGTTTTGGAAACTCTTTCCAGACAACCTATAATTTCTCTCTTTTAAAGCATGTAAACTTTTATATCCAGTTTCACATACTAATCTATCACATAAGGATTCAATTGATAACTGTTATTTGAAGCTTCCTTATCATCTAATTAGGTATCATTATTTTATTATTAAAAAACCTGTTTCAAACAAACAAAAAGAAAACTACCAGTTTAAAGTAATTAGCATCACATAATTAGCATAGGGACTAGAATATACACAATAAGATTTCACTATTGTAACAAGACAAACTAATTTGATTTAAGTAACGCCCATACCAACAGGAAAACCACAAACCGATATGCACTTCAAATTTAGAAAGTGCAGATCCAAGGAAGTGAAAAATAAATTGAACAGAGACCAGCATGCATTATCTACAAAGCAGGAGACATATAAAAGAGAGATAAAGTCAGCACTTGCCGTTATGTTTGCCAGTAAACAATGGGTTTAACCAAAAAAAAAAGCACATTCAGTTCCTTTATATGAAACTTACACTTTGAGACCATTCAGGAATTAGGCTGAGCACTCGGTCATTTTGCAACCTTGATCCTGTCAAAAGTTCTATGTAAGATACAAGAATCATATTCAATGGAAAGTTTCACGCCATATGAGTATTTAAACTAAAACATTTTTGGCTCATCCTATGGTGTAGCATGAGTTTTTTTTTTTAACCAAGAAATGAACTTTTCATTAATGGATGAAAATAATAAAATTGTTCAAAACTCTCGTAAAAAGTGAAAAGAAAAAAAAAAGACAATACAAACAACCAAATAAAATAGCAAATAAATCAAAACAAGCTCTTTAAAACTAACAAAAAAATCAACCAAACTTAAGGCACCCAACTAAAAGACGCCAACCATTGACTCCTGAACAAAAAGCCAGTGAAATAAAGAACCAAGAAAAATCCACACCCTGCAAAGCTTAGCAAGAATCAGCCTATACAAGATCCAAATGAAAATACCAGCCTCCAAACACACCACCAAAGAAAAAGTAGAGCAACACGAGAATCTACAAAAAGACCTCCTCGAAAAATAATGCTGTACCCTTAAGCTTTATTTCACACAGAGTGATTCCAATTTTTTCAAAATAATGCAGAAGATCTTCCTTATCCAAAGCAATCAAGGGAGGACAATGTTTTTCACTATCCTTAGGATGACCCTTGGATAATCCACGCTCAATGTCTTCCAAACCGAATTGCACATTAGTTTTGGAGTACAACATGTGGCAGTGGAAGATCGAACTCACAACCTCTTGATTAAAGACATATGTCAATTACTGCTGAGCTATTAGTGAAAATAAGACAAACCATCTTCAAACGACTCATCAATTCTCAAGCTTGGATTCATAAACGTCTGAAGTATTACTACCACACTAGCATCATCCTCGTCTCAAATCCTGTCGTCATACCCCTCCAATGGTTTTTGAATGAAGTTATTATTTGAAGAATGAATTGTGTTGGTTTATTATTTATAAATATTAGTGTAAATTAGTTGTCATTATTAATTATTATTTTATCTTTATTTCCATTTATGTTTGAGCCTATCTTCTATATAAGAAGGCTATGTATTTCTTATGATTAATATATTGGAATACAAATAATTTGATTCCATCAAAACTAAGTTGGTATCAGAACTTAGGAAGTAAACCCTAACTCTCAAAACCCTAGCCATCATCAAAAATACCAGCTCTTCGCGCGTATTCGGAGCTACGCGGATGCCGTAGTCGCAGAAGCCGGATCAACATCATGACAACGGCATTCTGGAAACTGTTGGGCCA